GCTTAAATTTACGGCCCAACGATGTCCGATAAAATATGGTGTCCGACCAGATCCACGGCGAAGCTATACGTTTAGTAAACATTGCGCCAAAATTATTAATGGCCTCATAGTAGCCATTATTTTTGTCCATCTGTACACCCATTGCTGTCTCTATTATTTTTTTTAAAAAATTAAGTATTATATTCATTTTATTATAATATTTTTAAATAAAAAACTTTTTTTTTTAATTACCGCAAACAATATTCAATGTTAACAGTGATATCGGTTCCCGTATATCCATATATTGTTGTCTATCATATGATATATTATTATCAATGATTTTCTTAACAAACATATTTGTTTGTTTATTAATTATGGGTATATAATCGTTAAGGATTTTCAAATGAAATGCTGGGGTCAACAATTTTCGTCTACCCGACCATTTAGCACCGGTAGTCGATATTAGGCCGTCGCCCATAAAATCGTTTAGAAATTTATAAAAATATGATTTATCAATATTGACATTTGATGAAAATATTTTCTAATTATTTGAATAAATAATTATATAATTATTGTTATTAATTTGATAAAAATAATTTTTATAACTATTATTTATATATTGCAAAAGTGGGTGTAGGAGTGGGTCCGGCAGGGTGAGTAGTAGTATGGTAAGGCATTTTACTATCCCCTCTCTCTCTGAGAGTGCTATTTTTACACCCAAACATTTAGGAAACCCCCCCTTCCCCCTCAATTGATTTTCATTTCAATTTTGCTTACCTATACCTTACCCACCCCTCCTTCCCCCCTACCAATACAAATACATACACTCATTAAATCAGATTTAAATATAACAACCACTGGTTTGTGTCCGATTAATAATTTATAAATACCATAATTGCTGTATTGTTTGCATAACGATACAAATATTGGATAAATGCCTGTAATATATATATATATATAATTTTGTGTCATTAAATAATTATTAATTAAATATATATTCAGTATATTAAAAAAAAAACTTACTGTCACTACTAGGCAAACCAGATATACAAAACAAATCTAAATTACCGATCAGCGGGTATCGGGGTTGGGGTCCGGGAATTTTGGCCAAACACGAGTCGCGGTAACGGTTTTTATGTTTGTAATACAAATATATTACTGAAATCATTGCTAAACATATTGCTAACAAATATTGACAAAACACTACAATTGATTCAAACATTATTTAAGCAAATAATTTTTAATTATAGTTTAATTAATTTCATATAAATAAAAAATTAATTGTTATAAATAAAAATATTATAAAATATTTAGAAAAAAAACTTATAATTATTTTTTATTTAAAAAAATCAGATTAAGCTATTAATTGTTTAACTAAACAAAATTGAATAATTAGAGTTATACTTATATTTTTAAAAAAAAGTATTTTTTAAAAATGGCTACCAATTAATTAATTTTACATTTATTATTACATTATATATTACATAACTTAAATAAACATATGGAAATCAATTTTTATTAAAATATTTAAGTCAATGAAAAATAATATATACAATCAATGATTTATCAGTTGATATATCAGAAAATATCATCGATATGTTTATCACTTAATAAAATTGATTTCTATGTGTTTAATTGACTCAAATATATTAAATAATATACAGGTATATACAGTATATCTTAGATTTATTGCCTAACATATTAATTAATTAGTAGCCATTTATTTATATAATAAAAAAAAATTTATCTAAAAACAATATAATTAATTTTTAGTGTATAGTTAGCCAACTAATAGATTATTATAAGCAGAAATATACATAATATTTAAAAAATTATGACAAATAATAATAATATAAATAATAAAATAAATGTCGACAACGATCATAAACAGTACATTATATACATACAATAATTAATATAATACAAATAAAAAAAAAATTTTAAATTAATATATAATTAGTTACAAGAAATTTATTTTATTATAAATCTGTTTTGATTTGGGAATAAATCTGATATTTAAGGGACTTTTGGCCCGATTAGCCTTTTCGGCCGACTTTTTAATACTATCTAACGGTTCCAGTGATTCAATTGAAAAGTTTAGCAAAATTTTCGACAAAACAATCATTTCTTGCATTACGGCGAACCGTTTGCCAATACAACCGCGCGGACCGGCACTAAACGGTACATAATTGCCGGCATTTATTTTAGTGTCCGATTCTGATGGTTGAAAGCGTTCGGGACGGAAATGATTGGGATCGGCAAACACTTCCCGATTGTAATGCATTTGTTCAATCATTATGAAGACATCGACACCGGCAGGTATAACATAATTATTATTATTATTATCACCGACCGGACAATCTTCGGCCAGTCGGCGGGCAATAAACGGTGCCGACGGACACATACTCAGCGACTCTTTTATAGTCGTAATACATTTTTAAATTACAAAAAAAAATATTGTAAAGTTTATGTGTAGAAATTTTTTGTTAATTATAATTTAAATTTGATATGCTTTAATTTTTTTTGTATATTTATTATACCATATGTTTATTTTACTTAAAAAATCAAATCAACGTCAATAGCTATTTAACCAATAAGATTGTGTTACAAAAAAAAATTTAATTTAATTAATAAAATTTAGTTAGACTTTATATGAAACATTGAATTTACAAAATATAACTTTTAAGTATATTTTAATTAGTTTTAATTTTAAAGTAGTGATGTGTTGTTTTTTTATATAAAAAATAATTCTCCATTTATAATAAAAAATTTAATATAATATAGATTTTTAACTGAATTAGATTTAATAAATCTAAATTAAAATCTAATTTTTTATATTAGTATAATTAATATACTAATCTGTCTCTCCCCTTAAATCTATTGATATTATATGATAACTAATAATTATCATATAATGTCTAAATTTAAGTCCACATACCGTTATCCCGGTCTGATAATACTATTGGCACTGTTAGCTATTGACTGTATCAATGGCTCCGGTAGTATCAAAAACAATAGAAAACCGGCATTCAATTTAGGATCAGTTAAGTATTGTTTTTGATATTGTTTGGTTATAATCATTATAATCATTATTATAGTGATTTATTATTTTGTTTTTGTTAACAAAATTTAATTTCTAACATTTTCAATATTAACATAAAAATTTGTATAATTTTATATATATATCGGGATATATATGTATATATATAGTTGTCTGGTCTATGGTATAGAGTATATTCATCCAGTAGTACTGGTTGTCTGAATCTGGAAATTGTTGAAAACATTCAGACAAAACAATATGATTTAATTGAACGGTTAGTATTGTATTTTATTTATTTTTTTTGATTATAAAAATCTATACTTATTTTATAATAGTATTATTTATAATGCTAATTATATTTTTATGTATTTTTTGTAATAATTTTTTTTTGTAAATTATTTTTTTTTTTAAATATAGACGAAATATGGAATTGATTAGTCAATTACAATCGTCAATTGATCCAGATGCTAACATTAGATTAATAAATAATGATACCAATGGTCAACAATTGCTAAAAATATTGACCACTGATTTGGCTAATTATTTTTTAGTACATCTATTGGATATTCAACAAAATATTGGTAAGTGCTATACAGTACAGTATATATATATTAATATATATTAATTAATTAAATTAATTTAAAAAAAACTATATTATTATTAGCTGTTGTCAGTGTCTATACTAGAGATAGACCGCAACAACTGGACGATGAGCTCATGGATCTGTGCAGTCGTACAATCAAACGATCAAATATTCAACTATCGCTCCGAAAGGTCGAGTATCTGAAATGTCAATCACCGCCGACAATGGACCCGCCGGCCTGTAGTTCCGGTTCCGGTTCCGCTAATGGCGTTGGTTTACCTAATATACCGACACTGGCGACACTCGTCTATAAGGTTTGGGTTTTTTTTATAAAAAAAAATTATTTGATACTATATATAGCTAATTGTTAGCTAATTGAATCGTTGAAATTTAATACATGTATATATATTTTTTTTATAAAAAAACATATGGTTTTTTTTTGGTTGTATTACTAATCACTTATTCAATTAACCCCCAGATGCCTGGTATCTGGCACCGGGTGTACGGTTCAAACCGTGACGGCCACATTAGTTTCACATTTGTCTTAATACCCGGCAAACAGCCGACTACATTCAGAGTCATTATTCGGTAAATTAATTAATTAATTAAATTTAATTAATTTTTCTATATATTAATTAAAAACTAATAATATTAAGTAATTTTTATTTATTTTTTTAATTAATTCAGTACTAAATATGTGTTTAGAAATAATAATTTGATTATTAATTGTATTGTAGTAATAGTTAGTTAGTTAGTTAGTTAGTGAGTGAGTGAGTGAGTGAGTGAGTGAGTGAGTGAGTGAGTGAGTGAGTGAGTGAGTGAGTGAGTGAGTGAGTGAGTGAGTGAGTGAGTGAGTGAGTGAGTGAGTGAGTGAGTGAATTATTATGATTACTAATGTATTTTAAAAAAAAATTTTTGATATATTATTACAGACAATCAGTCAATGGGTATGCGTCCAGACGTTTGATTGTTGAGGAAGACCGACAAAGATGGTCAATGGTTAGCGATGACAACGACCAACAATTGACAACAATTGAGTGTTTGAATTATGAGATAAATAAATATTTATTATTCAAAATTACCAACAATATCAGCAAAAAAGGTTTTTATTTTAGTATTTTTAAAAAAATTATATTATTTATTAATTTATTCACTTATCATAAAATTTGATATAAATATAAAACAAATTTTATATATATTTAAAATATATGAATTTAATTATATATATATTATTAAATATCAACTAATAATTTGTTATACTGTATATATATATATCAATCTCTCTCTATATATAACTTTACTAAATTTATTTTTTTATTATTATAAAAAATTAGTTCATATTAGCGTATATTCCCGATCGCCTGAACTGAATCCAAACATATTAGACAGCGCCAGAAAAACACTTGAAGGCCTAGATCTTCACTATCCATTGAAACCACTTATCAACGATAGTATCATATATGATCCCGAGGATGGCCAGTCACCCGATAATACAACACCGACAACAACTGTATCGTCTATCAGCGTATCCGAGCAGACATTGCCAAAAATACCGACAATACAAGTGCTGACTACTAAGGTTTGAATAATTGTTGAAATGTTATAAAAATATATTTTATTAATTTTTTTTAATATATAAAATCTTTTTTACAGTTAACTGGTCGCTGGTATCTGATATACAGTTCACAGAAAAAACAGTCACATATCTATGATATACAATACATTCCCGGTTCAAAACCGCCACAATTGCTGTTTACTATACAGTAATTAATTAATTATATATATATATATATATATATTAATTTTAATACATACTGATCAAAATTTAATTTTTTTATATTTATTTTTTTTAAACAAAAAAAAACTATCTAGACACGATATTGATAATAAAACCTATACAGGTCAAATGAAATTGACTGATAATAATTTGCATACAATGGTCTATACTACTGCCCGTAGCGATCGGGTTGTATTTAAATATCTAAATTACGATCTACCACAATCGTTTATTGTTTTATTCAAAAATTTAGATACAGATATAAGTATGTAACTTTTTTTATAAAAATTTTTTTTTACTATTATATTATTAATATATTAAATTTTTTTTAGAAAAAAATAATTAATTAATAATCTACCAATTAATACAATTAATTAAATTTAAATATGAAAAATCCTAATTTAATCTAATTAATATTTTATATTAATTTTTTTGATATTATTTATTTAATTTTTTAATATTATTTATTTAATTTTTTTAATATTATTTATTTAATTTTTTAATATTATTTATTTAATTTTAATATATATACTACAGTATATACATTTTAAAAATTAATACACATACATACACACACACACATGGACATACATACATAAATACATACATTTGGTGTATTAATTAAATACATTAATAATTAATGATTTTGTTTGTTTGTTTACTTAATGTTATAGATGGTGTACATGTATTTTCTAGATCCGATAGACCAAAACAACTAGATTTGTTGAAATTTGCTGAAAAAACATTGGATAGTTTTGAACTAAACTATCCATTAGTCGAAACCGATTTGGTGCCCATCAAAATCAAATCAATATTGAATAAGATTGACAATAATAACAACAATAATAATGATATTGTTTTGCCATCAGTACCGACACAGCAGACACTGGAAACAGAGGTTTGTGTATTAATATGTTTTTTGGTTATATATATAAAAGTTTTTAATCAATAATAGCAATATAATTAATATATTATATATATATAATAATATAAACTTAGATAAAGTTATATAAATATATTTTTTTGAATTTAATATTTCCAATACAGTTGCAATATAATTAACAAATATATTTAGTATATATAATTAGTAATATATATACTATTTTTTTTGCAAATATCAATATATATTGAATTAGATGACTGGTCGCTGGTATACAATATACGCATCAATTGTTACCCCCTATACTATTAACGATATAATAGCCACACCCGGATCACAACCAACTCAACTAAAATATATAATAACGTAAATATATGAAAATAATAATAATTTATATATTCAATAGATATATCAATACATTAAATATATATAAAGTTTTTTTTATAAAAAATTTAATTTTATAATATAGTTTATTAGTATATTTGCACATATTTTTAAAAAAACAAACAAAAAATAACTAATAACTTGTTTTTGTTGATATTGAGAATTTAATATATATATATATATATATTATATTTTAAAACAATTGACTAAAAAAATCTATTTTTTATTCAAGTTATTGTTTTTATAAAAAATAATTAATTAGTTTTTTTTAAAAAAAAAATAAGTATATAATAACTTAATTTTTTTCACCCCCCAATAATTTAATTTAAATTACAGAAACAATTTGAATAAAGTACCGCTAATTTCTGTTATAAAACCACACGAAAACAATGGCTATATTTGTGAATATGAAACACCCGGTAATGAAGTTGTACTGAAATTTTTATATTACGATCCGTCAAGTTTTTACATTGTTCAGTTTGAAAATGTCGATGGTACAAATGGTTAGTTATTAAAAAATTTTTAATTTTTAAAAAAATATAATAATAACTTAATTTTTAGTAATTTTTAAAAAAAAATATTAGTATATTTATCTATTGTAATATACTGTATTGTAATATAGTGTATTGTATATACTACAAACATAATTTAATTTCGTATCGCAAAAATATTGATATCATTAACTTTGAACTTTAATAACTTTTTTATTTTTTAACTTAAATAAACAAATTTGATATCAAATGAAAGAACACTTTTCAAAGTTTATAAGTCAATAAATAAAATTGCATTAATTATCATATTATCTATAAAAAAGCATAAGAAGTAAGAAATGGTAAAAAAAGTTATGTACAAAAAGTATTTTCGTGAAATCAAAACTTTAAATATTATTAACAAAATAAAGCTATTAATTTAGTAAAAACAATATTAATATCGAGTATTGCCTCCGTTGGCATCAATCACAGCCTGCAATCTTCTTGGAACACTTTGGATCAGCTTTTCTGTGACTTCTTCAGGTATATTTTTCCAGACATTAAATAACGACTCTTTAAACGCAGAAAAACTTTTTCTTTCGCTCTTTGGCATACGTCTGTCCAATTCATCCCATAGATGTTCAATAATATTGAGGTCAGGGCTCTGTGGCGGCCACTCAAGTGTCTCAATTTGATTGTCAGACAACCATTTCTTTGCCAATTTTGATGTGTGCTTTGGGTCGTTGTCCGCTTGAAATAAAAAATCATCGCTTATTTGTAGATCTCTGGCACTCTGAAGCAAATGTGGGGTCAAAATATCGTTAACGTAAATGTAGCGGTCCATAGTTGATGGAATTTCGACCAAATGGCCAACTTCCTGGCCTGTCATACACCCCCATACCATAACTGATTTCGAGTGCTTCACAGTTGGACATATATTATCAGGATTAATGCTTTCGCCTCTCTTTTTAAACACTCGTTGGCGACGTTTAGTACTAATAATCTCAAATTTTGACTCATCTGACCACAAGACCTTCCTCCAGTATGACATAGGCATCCGGATGTACTTTCGTGCAAAGTCTAATCGTTTTCTCTGATTTGTTAGGCTTATCATTGGACGTCTTCGCGCAATACCACTGTAATAACCCATTTCTTGAATCCGGTGTCTAATAGTGTTTCTGTGACACAAAATGTTTCTGGCGGCCAACTCTTCCTTAATCTCATCGGTGGTCAACTTCTTATTTTTTGCCACAATTCGACTCAATATCCTGTCCTGTTTAGCACTGGTACATCTTTTTCGACCACTTCTTGCGAGATTTCTAACTGTCCCGTACTTTTCGACTTTCTTTACAATTGATCGGACAGTATTATCAGTTGTTGTAAACAGTTCCGCTATTTTTGCGTATGACTTTCCGGTGCTGACTCTCATATCATACATTTGTTGGCGAATTGCATCTGAAAATTCTTGTATTTTAACCATTTTTATGATAATCACTGCATTTACTGTTTATTTACGTGTATTCAAATTAATAACAATGCATTGGAATCAATTGGTCCCAACAATGTGTCTGAAATCACGCGCGTTTTAAAAACACGAAAATAATTTTTGTACCTAAATTATTAACACCTATAACTTTACCTTGATATATTTTGTTCTTTAAACCATTGTTTTGACCATCTAGTATATCAATTTAATTGTGATTTATTACTCTATTATTTGATATCAAATTTGTTTATTTAAGTTAAAAAATAAAAAAGTTATTAAAGTTTAAAGTTAATGATATCAATATTTTTACGATACGAAATTAGATTATGTTTTTAGTGTACAATGTATATACAATATAATAGATAAATATAATAATAGTAAAAATTTTCACTAAAATTAAGTTATTAATTTTTTAATATTGTATTTCTATTTGTATTTAAATTGTAATTTTATTATCGTTAAAATTTATTTTAGACATATATATATATAATTTATATATACTATATACGGTATATATTAATATAAATTCATTAAATATAATTAAACTGTATATGAATATAATATAAGTTATATTTCAATAGATATTTATATATATATATATATATATTATTATTATAATATACTATATTCACAACAACAATAATAATAATAAACTTATTTGTTTTTTTTAATTTATACATTATTATTATCAATATTAATATTATTATTATCAAATAACAGGTATCAATGTATTGTCTCGATCTAATAACCTGAACAAAAATTTGCTAACAATTGCTGTAAAGATATTACAACGATTGGGTTTTAACGATAAATATGTATTAAAACCGCTTAAAGACGATGATTGGACACCAAATTTGGCTAAAATTGATAATTTACCAAAAGTACCAACAATTCAAAGCTTTGCAACTGAGGTATATAACAGTATATATATATATATATAAATATTATTAAATACATATTAGTTTAAGGGAAAAAAATCGTAAATGTTTTTAATAAAATCTATAAAATATTTTTAATATTAACTATCTATCAAATCCTAATTAAATCAAATCAAATTTTTAGTTAATTATAAGTTGCAGTTAATTTCTAATTTTATTTTGACTACAATTTTACTACTACACCCTCTATTAAATTCAATCAATTAAAAAACAAACTAGCAAACAAACAAACAATATTTTATAAATAATTTAATGTTTGCCTTATTTAATTGAAAACCCATTATTAAAATAACTATTTATTTTCGATATTTTTCAAAAATAATAATAATAATTTCCAATAACATAATAAATTAATTACTTTATATGTTGTATTCCGCAGAAAATATTAAATTTATTTATTTATTTTTTTTTTTGAAATATAAATAATTAGTTTACTGGTCGCTGGTATCGTGTGTATGGCTCGATAGGTGTAAGCTTTAATATATATGACATAACACCCGTTCCCGACTCACAACCGCCTGAATTGCAATTCAGAATACGGTAATTATTAATTAATTTATAAAATATTAATTAATTTTTAAACAATTAGTTATTAATTAATTTTTAAACAATAAATTATTAATTAATTTATTAAACTATTAATTATTAATTAATTTATAAACAATTAAATATTAATTAATTTATAAGCAATTAATTATTAATTAATTTATAAACAATTAAATATTAATTAATTTATAAGCAATTAATTATTAATTAATTTATTAAATATTAATTATTAATTAATTTATAAACTAGTAATTATTAATTTATTTATAAACTAGTAATTATTAGTTAATTTATTAAACAATTAAATATTAATTTTAAAAATTAATTTTATATATTTATTATTTTTTTTTGTTTTATTTCATTATAAATTAGTAACAATTATAAAAATCGGACTAAAACGGGTCGTATGGTATTAACGGATGATACAAATAATTTATTTACATTATCTTTCGCTCATAATCCTAAAAAACCAATTTTATATAAATTTTTAAATTATCAATTACCAAATTATTTTATTATCTTATTCAAAGATACCTTATATGATACAGGTAAATAACTAACTAATTAATTTTTATTATTTTTAAATAATTTTATTTATTTACAATAATATAATTATAATCTAATTATAATCTAATTGAATCTAACTATAAAAATTATATATATTAAAGTTTTTATTTATATTTATATATTTTTTATTTATATATATATATTTTTTATTTATATATTTATAGTTAGTATAGTTATATATTTATATTCATAATATATATATACAGCATATATATATATATACTATATTCTAATTATAGATTTATTTGTTTTTTTTCTTAAAATAAATTAAAAATTGATTTATAATAACAACAACAACATGGATGATAAAATTATAATTATTTTTAATTAATTAATTAATTTTTTCATTGTTTGCTTATTTAGTTGGTGTTAATGTATTTTCAAGAGATAGTCGACCAAAACAATTAAATTTACTAAAAATAGCCAAAAAAACATTGGATAATCTAAAATTAAAATATAGATTACTTGAAGCCAATTTAGTACCGTTTAAGATAATGACAGCATGGACCCAAATTATTAATAACAATGATTTGGTTTTACCACAATCACCGACAATACAACTAATCATCAATGAGGTATTAATGTATTAATATTTTAATATATATATATATAATTAGTAATTAACTTAAATGTTGAGTAATATACAGATAATACCAATTAAAAAGTTTAAATTTTAATTAATATATATATATATATATAGTGTAAGCTAATATATAGTTAACTTTTTAGGCCTAAGCAAGGTAACTTAGCTTATATACACTAATATTACCTAATAATATTAGATATAGTTATATAAAAATACCTTGGCTAAAACATTATAATAATATTACTAAAAAAAAATTAAATTTTTAATGGCATAAATTACAATATTTTTTTGTTATTAATTAGTAAACAAACAAAATAAATCAAACATAAATTTTACGTTTTTTTTAAAAGAAAAAATCTATAAAAAAATATTAATAAATTTATTTGTTTTTTTTAATTATTATTATTAAAAAAAATTATTAATTAATTTAGATGACTGGTCGATGGTTTAGACTATACGCTACAGTAATAACCCCTAACAATATACGTGACATAGTATACACACCCGGTTCAGAATCGTCTGAATTGAAATATGTAAAACGGTAATTTTTAATTTTTTTTAATTTTAATAATTAAACTTAAATTTTATATATATATTAATTATTCAACAAATTATTTTAAAAAATTTATTTATTATTTTTTAAAAAAAAATTATAGAAACGATGACAAACATGAAGTCGGAACCTATGATATAAAATTCAAAAACAATCAATTTATTTTGGATAACGAAAACAATGATAATCGTATTGTAATGAAATTTTTACATTATGAGCCGGCTAGTTTTTATATAGTCCAGTATAAAGAAACAAAAAATGGTGAAGGTAAGTTTAGAAATTGTTTTTTTATTGTTTTTTATTTTAACATTATTTAAATCATTATTAGATGGTTGTACACCTAATTAGTCCGTTATTATTAAAATAGACAAAAAGTTTATATTATTATTATTATAAATTATATTGTTAATATAATATTAAATTAGATATAGTACTTAATTATAATAAATTTTAAACAGTCTATATTTGAGCTAGACCAATTTGTTTTTTTAATAAACCATAAGTGCATTTTAATCAAAAATCACTATTTTCTGATATTCAATGATATATATATATACACAGTATATATATATATAATATATATATACAGTATATATATATATAATATATATATACAGTATATATATATATAATATATAATTTAATTAAATACAATAATTATTATAACCAGTTATATACCTTATTTTTATTTGATTTTTTTTTAACTAATTTTACTAAATTTTTTTAATAAATATTTACAGTCACAGAGGGTATCAGCGTTTTTTCGCGGGCCACCAAATTGGACGACAATTTACATAGAATTGTCTTAGAAGTAATCCATAGGTTAGGACTTAATTACGATATAAAACCGGTCAAAAATCCCGATATAACCGATGATTCAGCGATTTTTGTTGAAAATACCGATTTTCCTAAAGTACCCGGAATACACCTATTGACAACTAGGGTATTTATTTATTTTTATTTTATTTTATTTTTTTTTTGATTATAAAAAATAAATATTATTATTTTTTTATAGTTAACTGGTCCATGGTTTTTGATGTATACATCACATCCGGTAAAACCTAATGCACTTGAAATCAAATACCTACCCGACACACAACCGCCCGAATTAGAATGGGTCAGAAGGTATGTCTAAATATTTATTTTTTTTGTAATTTTAATTTAATTATTAGTTTTATGAATTTAATTATTAATTTTATAATTTAATTTTTATTATTATATTCTAAAACTATATATATATATATATATATATATATTTATATATATATATTTATATATATGTATATTTTCTATTATAATTTATTTATTTGTTTTATGATTTTAATTATTAGTTTTATGAATTTAAATATTTTTTTTAGTATTAATATTTATTAATAATATGATTGAGTTTTATTAATTGATAAAATAGTATTGTAGTAAAACAAATAATTAGTAAAACAAATAATTAAAGTAAACAAATAAATAAATATCATAGTACAAAAATTTGTTATTAATAATAATAGTATTTATAAAATATTTAAAAAATTTAATTTTAAATTACAATTTTATATATATATATATATATATATATATATATATATATATATATATATATATATATATATATATATATATATTATTAATTTAATTATTTTTAATTATTTTTATTTTCACTTAAAAAACAAATAAACAAACAGTAAATCTGATAAATCAAGCAATAAAGTTATTAAAGGATTAATGACTATTGAAGACAATCAATATTTTATGAAAGAAAGAGGAATTAATTATATCTATAATTATTTGAATTACGATCCAAACAAATATTTTATAATACAATTTGTAAACTTAAAGGAAGAAAATGAAGGTAAATAAATAATATTATATTATTATTTATATTTTTATATATATATAAAAATTATTATTTATTGATAAAATTTTTAATTGTTGTAATAAATATTGTGTTAATAAACATCGTAGTATTTAAGTGCAAGGTTTTAGGATTTTAGAGGGTGGGGGAGTTGGCAATGGGTTATATAGGGTGGGGTAAAATAGAAAAATTATTTGGAAAGGGGTATAGGGTTGGGGTTTAGTTGCATTTTTAAACAACATTTTAAAAAATCCAGAATTAAGTGTTTAAATATATATTCCCAATAAATAATAACCGAAATTTTTATGGGGAAGAGGAGGAGGAGGAGGAAAAATATATTTTTATATGTTTTTTAATTAGACAATTGAGGTCCCAAAAAAATCGGGGAATTGGGGTGTGGGTAAAATCCAAAATTTTGTCTTATGAGAGACGTAGGTGGGGTGGGGCTATTTTTGCCATAAATACACAAATAATTTATATATATATATTATTGTAATTTTTTTTAATAAAAAAGTCGGTATTGACGTATATACCCGATCGGACGAACCCGACCCACAACTACAGAATTATACCAAACAGATAATCAGATTTTTGGATGTGAATCTACCGCTTCATAAAGTACCGCAATATCATCTGATCGGTAGACCGGCCATCAATCCAACTGACCAGCCTAGACCTGGATTAACTAGGAAACCATATGTACCCGATACGGAAACATTGATCAGTGGTGTATGTATTTATTTTATATTGATTAGTATATATATATATTTATTTATTTATTTATATACCGTAATAAATATAATAGACTGTATTTATACATATATTGTTTTATTGTTAATTTACTTTCTAAAAATGATTCTGATAATTAATTAATTTACTTTATATATATTTAGTATTATATATAATATATTAATTAACTAATAGTAGTAATATAATTAAAGTTCTGGCTAAATTTACTTTATTTATTTATTTTTATTTTATAAAATATTAAATATTATTAACAAAAATTTCTTTAATTTTATTTTAATTATTTTTAAATATCGCAATAATTTTATTTTGTTAATTACAAAATATAAATTTTATAATGCTATTTATTGGGGGATAATCTCATTAAAAAAAGTAATATATTTCCCTTATTTTACAAAAAAAAATTAAGGTTATTTATTTAGAAAAAATTAATTTTATCTAATTAGAAAGTTGCCACTCCCACACCCCACCCCCAAAAAATATAATAACTATTATTGAATATATAATTGTAATATTAATAAATAATGATAATTAAAATTAACTATATTATATAGTATATATACTTTATTTTTACACTTTTGTTTTACACAATTTTATAGTATTATAAAAAAAATTAATTAATTAATATAAATAACATATTTTACATTTCCTAATTAGAAAATTACCCCCAACAAAAAAAAATATATTTACTATTATAGAATATATAATTAATTAATAATATAATTAAAAAATAATAATAAAATTTAAAAATTAAATAATATAGTATATAATTATATTTTTACACTTTTGTTTGTCAATTATATATTACTATAAAAAATTAATTAATATAAATAATATTTTACAATTAATTTATATATATATCTATAAATAATAGTTGATAGGTACTTGGTATCTATTGTATACAACCGAGTTTTCTAGATTACCTAATATTCAAATAAAACCACGTTCACAGCCCAATGAGCTATTATGGATCCGAACGTAATAATAATTGTTTTTTTTTAATTTTATTTTAATTTTTTAATTATATAATTTTCAAAAAATAAATAAATAAATATTTTTATTGATTTTAATTAATTAATTAATTAATTAATTAGATCTGATCTTGATCGTGAGTTGATTAAACGTGGCTTGATGAAATTTGATAACAATGGTTGTACATTTGGCAAAATTGTTAGATGTACATTTCTAGATTACAGTCCAAATAATTATTTTATTATTAAACTCGAAAATGATGAAACTAAAAATGGTAAATTAATTATTTATATACATAAAATTATTGATTTATATAAAAACAAATATTATTATTGTCTAATTTATATATTATATATTGTATATAAGGGTGTAACTAAAAAAAATAAATATAATTAATTTGTTTACTTATTAATTATTTGATCTAATTTTTTGTTGTTGTTGACTAAATATGTTAATTAATTAATTATTTGTTTGTTTCTATTTGCAATTTCTACAACTACAACAACTACTACTACTACTACTACTACTACTACTACTACTAATAATAATAATAATAATAATAATAATAAATATTATTATAGTAATCGTATATGTGATTAGCCGATTGGAGCAACCGGACCCGAACCTACTAGATCATGCCCAACGATTATTACCAAATTTGGGTATTAATTTCCATTTTATTAATGGACAAACTAGACCAGAAATAGGTCAACTTAATAAACCTAAACCACAACTACAACCACAACCGCAACCGCAACCACAACCACAACCACAACCACTACCACTACCACTACCACTACCACAACCACTACCACTACCACTACCACAACCGCAACCACAGCCACAACCAAGTCTACCACAAAAACGACAACCTGGCCAGCCTACTGGATTAACTTGGCTACCATATGTACCCGATACGGAAACATTGCACAATGGTGTATGTATTATATATTGATTAGTATATATATATATATATATATATATATATATATATATACCGTAATAAACATAATAGACTGTATTTATACATATATTGAATTATTATTAATTTACTTTCTAAAAATGACTCTGATAGATTAATAATTTACATTATATATATATATATATATATAGTATATAGATATATATTTAGTATTACGTTATATATAATATATTAATTAACCAACAATAATAATATAATTAAAGTTCTAGATAATTCCACTTTATTTATTTAATTTTTTATAATTTTACAAATTGTGAAATATTATTAACAAAAATTTCTTTAATTTAAAAAAAATAATTTTAAATATTTCGCAATTTAAAAAACATTAATTTTATCTAATTAGAAAGTTGCCACTCACCCACCCAACCCACAAAAAAATATATTTACTATTATAGAATATATAATTATAATAAATAATGAAATTTAAATTTAAATATATAGTATATAATTATATTTTTACACTTTTGTTTGTCAATTATATATTGCTATAAAAATTAATTAATATAAATAATATTTTACAATTAATTTATATATATATATCTATAACTAATAGTTGATAGGTCTTTGGCATCTATCGTATACAAACGAGTTTTCTGATTTACCTAATATTAATATAAAACCGGGTAAACAACCAACTGAGCTAATATGGATCCGAACGTAATAATAATTGTTTTTTTTTTAAATTAATTTCATTCAAATTAATTCAATTTTATTATTTTCAAAAAAAAAATAATAATAAATATTTTTATTAATATTGTTTTTAATTAATTAATTAATTAATTAGATCTTATCTTGATCCTGATTCGGAAAAAAAGGGCTTGATGAAATTTGATAACAATGGTTGCACATATGCCACAAATGTTAAATGCACATTTCTAGATTACAGTCCAAATAATTATTTTATTATTAAACTCGATAATCAAATAACTAAAAATGGTATAATATTTATATATATATATATATATATATATATACATAAAATTAATTAATTTGTTTACTTATATATGTTTACTACTACTACTACTACTACTACTACTACTACTACTACTACTACTACTACTACTACTACTACTACTACTACTACTACTACTACTACTACTACTACTACTACTACTACTACTACTACTACTACTACTACTACTACTACTACTACTAATTATTATTATTATTATAGTGATCGTATATGTGATTAGCCGATCGGAGAAACCGGACCCGAACCTACGAGATCATGCCCAACGATTATTAATAAAATTTCGTATTTATTTACATTTTATTGATGATAAAACTACACCACAACAACAACAACCACCACAACAACTACCACAACCACAACCAGAAGATTCACAACAAACACAACCACAACCACAACCTAGACCTGGATTAACTTGGAAACCATATATACCCGATAAGGAAACATTGCACAATGGTGTATGTATTATATATTGATTAGTAAATATATATATATATATATCATAATAAACATAATAGACTGTATTTATGCATATATTGTTTTATTATTAATTTAGTTTCTAAAAAAATGATTCTGATATATAGTATATAGATATATATAGTATATAGATATATATAGTATATAGATATATATAGTATATAGATATATATAGTATATAGATATATATAGTATATAGATATATATAGTATATAGATATATATAGTATATATATATATAGTATATAGATATATATAGTATATAGATATATATAGTATATAGATATATATAGTATATAGATATATATAGTATATAGATATATATAGTATATAGATATATATAGTATATAGATATATATAGTATATAGATATATATAGTATATAGATATATATAGTATATATATATATAGTATATATATATATAGTATATAGATATATATAGTATATAGATATATATAGTATATAGATATATATAGTATATAGATATATATAGTATATAGATATATATAGTATATAGATATATATAGTATATAGATATATTTAGTATTATATATAATATATTAATTAAATAATAATAATAATATAATTAAAGTTCTAGATAAATTCACTTTAATTATTTAATTTTTTATAATTTTATAAAATGTGAAATATTATTAACAAAAATTTCGTTAAAAAAATTAATTTTAAATATTTTACAACAAATTTTGTTGTTGTTGCTAATTACAAAATATAAGTATTATAATGCTATTTATTGGGTAATTAGTAAATTTTCATAATTAGAAAGTTACCCCCCAACAAAAAAAATATATTAATTATAATATTAATAAATAATGAAGTTTAAATATATAGTATATAATTATATTTTTATACTTTTCTTTTGTCAATTATATATTACTATAAAAAATTAATTAATATAAATAATATTTTACAATTAATTTATATATATATATATCTATAACTAATAGTTGATAGGTCATTGGTATCTATTGTATACAACCGAGTTTTCTGGTACACCTATTATTGATATAAAACCACGTCCACATCCAAATGAGCTAATATGGACCCGAACGTAATAATAATTATTTTTTTTATTAATTTTTTAATTTTATTATTTTCAAAAAAAAAATATTTTTATTAATATTGTTTTTAATTAATTAATTAGATCTTATCTTGATCCTGATTCGGTTCAACGTGGCTTGATGAAATTTGATAACAATGGTTGCACATATGCCACAAATGTTAGATGCACATTTCTAGATTACAGTCCAGATAAATATTTTATTATTAAACTCGATAATGATAATACTAAAAATGGTAAAATATTTATATATATATATAAAATTATTGATTTATAAAAAAACAAATATTATTATTATTATTATTATTATAGTGGTCGTATATGTGATTAGCCGATCGGAGCAACCGGACCCGAACCTACGAGATCGTGCCCGACAATTAATAATAAAATTCGGTCTTAATTTACATTTTACTGATGATAAAACTAGACCACAACAACCACAACCAGAAGATTCACAACAACAACCACCACAACAACCACCACAACAACCACAACCCTATCCACAACCCTATCCACAACCTTTACCACCACAACAACCACAACCCTATCCACAACCCTATCCACAACCCTATCCACAACCCTATCCACAACCACAACCACCACAACAACCACAACCCTATCCACAACCCTATCCACAACCCTATCCACAACCCTATCCACAACCCTATCCACAACCCTATCCACAACCACCACAACAACCACCTAATGATGACAAAACTATACATAGAAAACCAAAAATATCACTACAAATACCGACAATACGTCAATTAACTCGAGAGGTAATTAACTGTCAAACAACTTAATTGCACAATAATTTTGCACTTAAAAAATTTATTGTTATTTATTATTAATAAAAAATAAATAAATAAAACAACATTCAATTATATAATAATATTATTAATTTTTTAGTTGACTGGTCGCTGGTATCGTATTTTCAGTACAATTGAAAACCAAATCGATAATATACTGGACATACTATACAAACCCGATACACAACCGCCTAAATTAATTTGGGTTTTCCGGTAATATTTATTTATTTAAAAAAAAAATAATTATATAAATGTAATTAAATTATAACAATATTAATAGGAAATATTTTTTTTATATATATTTTTAATAACAATATCTTTTTTGATTATTGATTCAAAAAATTTATTATTATTTTAGACAATTATTAATAATATTTTATTTTCAAATATCTAATAGTTACTAAACATTAAATTATAAAATTATTAGTCATTTTTCAAACAAAGTATAGATTAATTAACACCTGTTATGTATAATTAATTTTATTACTTAAATATTTAAAATATTATTTTCTGATTAATATTTATTTTTAATTATTATTTTAATTGTAATTAATAGATCGGAAAATGATATAAATCAATTGAATGTTGGACGCATAAATCTAGTTAATAACAAACAAATTATAATTGATTTTAAAAAAGATAATAAACAACAATCAGTTAAATATTTGAGTTTCAATCCGACTGATTATTTTATTATCCAAACAGAAGATAAAGATAAAAGTAAATATAATTTATATATATATATATATATATATATATTTAATTTAAAATTAAAAATTAATGTAAATTTTTTTAAATAAAAAATTTATTGATCGATATATTCCTTTAAGTAATTGTAAACTTATATATTATAGTACAATATATATATATATATATAGTACTAAACAAACAAACAAAAATTATTTATTTGATTAAATAAATATTTAATTGGTTGATATTATTGTAACCAATAATGTAAAAAATATATGTATATTTAATATAATATACTATTTATTCAGAAAAAAAAACATTATCATTAATAATAATAATAATAATAATTAAATTTCATTAATTATTTATAATATATTAGATAAATAAGTATTAAGTATTATTAGTAAGTTTTTATATATCTAAAATTATAACACAAAATAACAATAATAATTCAAAATATATTAATTACTTAATTATTTATTTTTTTTTAAATTTAGTTGTTATTGACGTTTATTCACGAGTATATAAATCATATCAAAATGGCTTAGAAGATATTGGTGATCGTATAGTGAAACGTTTGGGTTTTAATTATGAACTACACCCCAGCACACGACTACAACCAGATATGCGGGCATTAAGTTTTGAACGATTGCCCCTTAAATTACCAAAAGTACCGTCAATTAGGAAAATAACTACCGAGGTAATTAATTTATTGTGATTTGTTTGTGTGTGTATGTTTGTGTATATGTGTATCTTTGTATGTATATGTGTATGTTTGTATGTATGTATGTATGTGTATGTGTGTGTATGTGTGTGTATGTGTGTGTATGTGTGTGTATGTGTGTGTATGTGTGTGTATGTGTGTGTATGTGTGTGTATGTGTGTGTATGTGTGTGTATGTGTGTGTATGTGTGTGTATGTGTGTGTATGTGTGTGTATGTGTGTGTATGTGTGTGTATGTTTGTGTATATGTGTATGTTTGTATGTATATGTGTATGTTTGTATGTATATGTGTATGTTTGTATGTATATGTGTATGTTTGTATGTATATGTGTATGTTTGTATGTATGTATGTGTGTGTTAGAAAGTTATAATTATTAGATATAAAAACAAGATAATTAAAATAATTTTTTTTATTTACTGAACATTAATAAACATTTAAAAAAAAAATAATGCAGTAATAAATACTGTATATATTTATTCAGAATTTATTTTTATTACATAATAATAATATTTACTCTCTCTCTCTCTCTCTCTCTCTCTAACACTTACTCACATACATATCTAAATTATATGTATAAAATGTATATTTATATAAGATATTAAAATATAATTTATTTTATACTAACAGTTTACAGGTGTCTGGTTTAAGGTTTTCAGTACACGATTGGATACCTTTGAAATCTATAACATATCACACATACCTAACACTAATCCACCAAAACTCAGATTTAGAGAAAGGTATGTAAAAAATATTATTATTTTAATTTTGAAAAAATGTTTATTTCCTAATATATATATATATATATATATATATATATATATTAGTTTTAATTTTTAAAAAATCAGTTAAAAGCCTCAAACAAACAAAAAAGTCTCATTAAATTTAATTTAAAAATAATATTTTATTATTTTTTGTTTGTTTTTTTTGGTTAAATTAATTAATTGCTAAATTATAGTTATAATATGTATTTTAATTATTTTTAAAAACATATATATATAAAATATAATAACTTATAACTTTGTTATAGATTTTTATATAAATATTTTAATAAAATATTATTTACTATAATATATTCTCTCTYTCGCTCTCTCTCTCTCTCTCTCTCTCTCTCTCTCTCTCTCTCTCTCTCAATCTCTATTAATAATTATTTATTTATTTATTTAGAAGTACTACTGATAATCAAACTGAAATAAAAACATATGAAATAAAATTAGTGGACAAAAAATACAAATTGACTTATAAAGGCGTTACAACATTGCTTAATATATTGAATTACGATCCATCAGATTTTTTTATTGAATATTATAATAACGATTTGGATAATAAAGATAATGGTTTGTATTATATATTTTTATATTTGTTTTACATATTTAATTTTATTAACAAAATAGTGTGAGAATTATTTTTATATAAACAAAAAAATCATATATATATATATTCATATAAATTTTTATAAATGATAATATTTATTTTGTTGTATAATTAATTGTTATATATATACACACACTATAGATACAAATATTATAATTAGAAATACAATTAGAAAATTTGTTTATATATAATGCTTAATAGATTTACTACTAATAATAATAACATAGAGTATTACATTATAAATAGTTATATATATATATAATTACACACAAATATAAATACAGGTATATATATATACAGTATACATAGTTTATAGTATAAACTTTATACTATACATACTAATCAATATTAATATAATGATAAAGTTGAAAGTTTATTATTCAAATTTAATTGCTTAAAATAAACAAAAAAATTATCTTTAATTTTTTGTTATCACCAAATTAGCTGATATCGATGTCTATTCCCGATCAACCAAAATTGATTATGACTTATTGGACATTGTCTACAGGACACTGGATAAGCTGGATATCAGAGCCAATCTGATGCCCATTTATTACTATAATACCACTGTTGGCGGCAGTGATCCGGGCACTAATCCGGGCACTAATCCGGGCACTAATCCGGATACTAATCCAAGTCCACCCAATAGTCCATCAGATTATCCGCAAATTGTGGATAAACCAAGTAATCCACCCATAAGCCAGTTACCATCAAAAGGACCATCAATTGATACTTACATCACTAAGGTATTTGTGAATTTTTAATTATTTTTTTTTAAAGAAAAAGTGTGTCTAAATTAAATAGATAATCTATAAAAATTAGATAACTATAATAATATAGTAATAATAATAATAATTAATTAATTAAATATATAGTATTAATTATATAATATAATTTATTTAAATAAACCCCTTAAATAAATATTTATTTATTAGCTAGCTAAAAATAATATATATACTGAAAAAAATTATATTACTATAATACTAACAGATAATTATTATTACTTTTTTAATTAAAAAAAAAGATAAATATTATTTTTAACAAACAAAATATTAATTATTGTTATTATTAATAACATCATTACTTAATTATCATTTATTTTTTGTTGTTGAAAAATTTTACTGAAATTTTTTTTATTATAAGTAAATTAATAACAAAAAGTAACATTTTTTAATTTTTAATTTTTTAATAAATCAGTTAATTGGTCGCTGGTATGAAGTATATTCATCGGTACCATCCGATGATGACGTACACACCTATGACATCAAACACATACCAAATACAAATCCACCACAATTTATATTTAACGTCAGGTTAGTTACAGTATAAGCTATTTATAATAATTAGATTAATTTAATTAATTAATTAATATTTTTTTGTTAATATAAATATAAATACTAAAAAAAATAATTAATTTCAAATCAATTAATTAACATATTCGAAATATTTAGTATGGAATATATGATTTAAATTTTTTTTTTAATAATTTTTTAATTATCTTCCTTTAAAATACTACTAGGACATTTAATAATAAGCAATATAAAGTGAATTATGAATTAAATATTGTTGGAAATCGATATAATTTTGTTAATCTGAAAACTGATTTAACAAAAACAATTATATATATCCATTTCGATCCAAATAGTTATCAAATAATTAGTCGAATCGATAATAATAATAATAATAATAATAATGGTATGTCTAAGTAGATGCTAAAAATATTTAGTAAAAAAATTATTATTTTTAAATTATTAAATTTTTTCGATTCTTAATTTTTTATTTTGAATTTTAATTAGTTAATCCACGAATTTCTGTACTTTCACGATACGACAGTGCAAACCAAAAATTACTAATTATAGTTACTAATAGATTAAAACCATTTGTTCTTAATATACAACTATATCCACGTGTAAACTATATACCTGGTAATCCTGTTCAACCTGATCGACGAAACCCTGATGGTTCAAGTAAAATAATTTATCCTGAGCAACCTAATCGACGAAACCCTGGTGATTCCTTTAAACCTGATTATCCTGAGAAACCTGATCGACGAAACCCTGATGGTTTAATTAATATAATTTATCCTGAGCAACCTAATCGACGAAACCCTAATGGTTCAATTAATATAATTTATCCTGAGCAACCTAATCGACGAAACCCTGATGGTTCAATTAATATAATTTATCCTGAGCAACCTAATCGACGAAACCCTGATGGTTCAATTAATATAATTTATCCTGAGCAACCTAATCGACGAAACCCTGATGGTTCAATTAATATAATTTATCCTGAGCAACCTAATCGACGAAACCCTGATGGTTCAATTAATATAATTTATCCTGAGCAACCTAATCGACGAAACCCTGATGGTTCAATTAATATAATTTATCCTGAGCAACCTAATCGACGAAACCCCGATGGTTCAATTAATATAATCTATCCTGAGCAACCTAATCGACGAAACCCTGATGGTTCAATTAATATAATTTATCCTGAGCAACCTAATCGACGAAACCCTGATGGTTCAATTAATATAATTTATCCTGAGCAACCTAATCGACGAAACCCTGATGGTTCAATTAATATAATTTATCCTGAGCAACCTAATCGACGAAACCCCGATGGTTCAATTAATATAATCTATCCTGAGCAACCTAATCGACGAAACCCTGATGGTTCAATTAATATAATTTATCCTGAGCAACCTAATCGACGAAACCCTGATGGTTCAATTAATATAATTTATCCTGAGCAACCTAATCGACGAAACCCTGATGGTTCAATTAATATAATTTATCCTGAGCAACCTAATCGACGAAACCCTGATGGTTCAATTAATATAATTTATCCTGAGCAACCTAATCGACGAAACCCTGATGGTTCAATTAATATAATTTATCCTGAGCAACCTGATCGTCGAAACCCTGATGGTTCAATTAATATAATTTATCCTGAGCAACCTAATCGACGAAACCCTGATGGTTCAATTAATATAATTTATCCTGAGCAACCTGATCGTCGAAACCCTGATGGTACCATTAAACCTGGTTATCCTGATCACTTTTACAATCGGCCGTCAATGCACACATTTATTTTTGAGGTATTTAATCTTATTTTTTATATTACACTAAAGTTTCATTAAACTGCAATACATTATAATCTATTAACGACTTTTTAGTATTAGACTTTTATCATTTTTTTAAAGAATAAATTTAGTTAAAATAAAGTTTTAGGATACATTTTTTTATAATAAAAAATATTTATTATTACTAAAAATTTAAAATAAATTAATTTTATATAAAGAGGCAGTCAAATGTTGAGTACCTTGATAAGTTTGTCATAAATCACATTGTATAAAATTGTCTAAAATAAAATTGACGTTATTTCTGAATATTATATACTTATTTAATGAAGATTTTCATGTTATTACTAAATCTAAAAATAAAATTTTAATATGTAGACTAGTTTTCGAAATAATCGACTTTCAATATAAATTATATCAAATTACAATAGTGTGATATTTTGTATATCTGGTCATCCTAGTTTTGTTACTGTGTGTATATTAAGTGTGGTCGATATGATATTCTTAAATGTATTTTATAGAATTAAATTATCTCTAACAGTTTAAAAGTTATTCAAAAATTACACGGCTCAAGATCATTTGACCGCTATTTTACATTTTAATAAATATGATACAATCTTAAAAGTAAATTAAAGTTTCTTTTTTTTTTAAAAAAAAACATTAACAATTATTCAATCAAACATAATCATACATAACAAATTTTAATATAAATGCTCTGGACATGTGACAAATATATCAATATAATAAATTTTAAATAAGCTAATAATAAATTAGGTTATAGTATAATTGAGCATGATAAAATAATTAATAATACACAATAAAATACGTAGCCTATTATTTTATTTTTTAAAAAAAAAGTACACTAATATATATTGATTGATTTATTTTTAACTATTTTTCTCTCAATCCAATAATTTCAGTTAATTGGTCCCTGGTATCGACCGTTTAGTTCATTACCTCATGATACTTATTTATATAATATAAACAAGATCAATGATATACCTGACACACAACTACCACAATTGAAAATAGATTCATGGTATAAATTAATTAATTAAATTTTTAATAATCTTATAATTAAAAACAATTATTATTATTATTATTTTAATTAATTAAATTATTTTTTTTTTCAAGGACTGCTAATAATCAATATAATTCAAGTCGCGTTGAATTACAATTAGTTAATAATTTGTTTCAACTAAGAAACATTGACACTGGTAATCAAGTAACCTATGAATTTCTAAATTATGATCCAGCAAGTTTTATGATTATCAAACGAACTGATAGAAAAACTAATACAGGTATAATAGTGTATATAAATAATATTATTTAAAAATTTTTTTTGACTATTATTTAAATATACAGTATTTTTATATATTTTTATATATTTATATATACTTATTAAATAAACTTATATATATATATATAAGTTTATTTAATATATATATATATATAAGTTTATTTAATATATATATATATATAAGTTTATTTAATATATATATATATATATAAGTTTATTTAATATATATATATATATATAAGTTTATTTAATATATATATATATATATAAGTTTATTTAATATATATATATATATATAAGTTTATTTAATATATATATATATATATATAAGTTTATTTAATATATATATATATATATAAGTTTATTTAATATATATATATATATATAAGTTTATTTAATATATATATATATATAAGTTTATTTAATATATATATATAAGTTTATTTAATAAGTTTATAGTTTGTTTTTGTTTTATTTTTTTGGTATCTAATTATTATAGCGATTACAGAAAATTGTTATTTATTTTTTTTTTAGAAAAAACATTATTTAACTAATTTTTGTTTAATATAAAAAAATAATTTTTATTTAATTGTTAATTATTTTTGTTTATGTTTTGTTTGTTTGTTAACAGTTGGTATAAATGTATTTTCCCGATACTACAGTCCAAACAATCAAAACTTACTTGAATTGGCCGTAAAAATACTTGAAATCAATGGTAACGATAAATATAAACTACGACCTATTGTTATGCCGACTGCTGACGAACCATCCGTCGGCAGTAAATTGCCAGAAGATACCGATGAAATTTTGCCTAAAATACCGTCACCGCAAACATTGACTGATGAGGTATTTGACAAAAATAAATATATAATAATACTATAGTGATATGTACTATATATATATATATATATATTAAAATTTAAAAATTTAGTTAAATATATATAAGCTATATATATATAGCTTATATATATAGCTTATATATATTTAGCTAAATTTTAATGCTTAACACAAACAAACAAAACAATTAGTTAATACAAAATTATGATTTAATTAGTTATATAATATATATATAGCGATTTTACAAAGTATTATTAACTACAGTACCACAAAAAAAATATTTTTTTTTTCATAACAATTTTTTTTAATTAATTATTTTTTTTCTTAAAAAATTTTCTATTAAATATCTTAAAATATATTTAAAATAATTATTTTTTAAAAAATATTTTTTGTTTGATTGTTTTTGACACCAATTAATCAACTAATTAGTTGACTGGTCGCTGGTATAGGATATCCGACTCAACAAAACGTGATGAAAATATTGTTGACATCAAATACATACCCGACTCACAACCGCCACAATGGGAATGCATTATACGGTAATAGATATATATTGTTTGAAAAAATAATTATTAAAAAAATAACTATTTGTTTTAAAAATCAAATTTTTTTCTAATTGATTTCAATGATTAGTTTCAAATATTGATTTATAAAAACTATCTTTATATATATATATATATATATATATATATATATATATATATATATATATTTAAAAAAAATTAAATTATTCATAGACTATAAATTATATATATTTTTTATATTTTAGTTAATATTTCTATTTATAATTATGTGTGTATGTGCTAGTTATTAAAAATTGAAAAACAAAAATAATTTTTACATACATAATAATTTACTACAAACAAAATATTAATGATTATTATTTTATTTTTATTTATATAGACATAAGCAAAATAAATATTATAGATTGGCCCATATAATTTATGATAACAATAAATATACATTGGTTTACAATAATAATAGAGATATTAAAAGTCAATTCAATGTTTTGAATTACGATTCACAATCATTTATTATTATCAATATTAAAAATACATTGACTAATACTTGTAAGTAAAACCTAATATTAAATAATAATAATTATTTTTATTGTTGATAAATAATCTAAATACTTAATTTAATAATTAATTTTTAAAAAATATATATATTTATTTAATATAGAAACAATATATTTATTTAATATAGAAACAATATATTTATTTAATATAGAAACAATATATTTATATAATATAATTTATTTTATATATACAGTTTGAAAATTTAGATAAATTTTTTGTTGTTGTTGAAAGTATTTATTATATATTACTATATATTGTTGTTATTATATATATATATATGTGTGTTTAAATTAATTATTAAAATAATTAATAAGATTATTTATCAACAATAATAATAATAATTATTATTATTATTACAATGTATATATAAAAACTTTTTTATATACTGTATAACATTTTGTTTTCTAACTGTTTAATTAATTTTATCTATTTATAATTATATATATATAGCTGATGTTATAGTATTATCCCGATCATACAGTCCCCAACAAAATAATATACTAGACATTGCCAAACAGACCCTGGATGAATTGAAATTATATTTTAAACTAGATATAGATAGATTCTTGTACTCGGATGTTAAAAAAGGCAATAAGGATTTATTACCAAATCGATTGCCAAGAGTACCATCATTGGATACATTAATAACCAAGGTATATATATTTTAAAATATATATATAATAGTTTTTATTATCTCAAATAATATTAATTGAATTTTGTTTAATTAAAATCATTAATAATAAAACATTTTGATTTATTATTTAATAAAAAAATAATAAAATAAATATCATTAAAATTATTAGTTGACGGGTCGCTGGTGGCCATTGTATAGTTCACAATGGATCGGTGGTAGCAGTAGTTTCGTATCATACATACCCGGAACACTACCTCCACAATTGAAATACAAAACACGGTAATAAATATTATTATTATTATTAATAATTATTTTTATTACTATTTTCATTTTAGATCTCTCTCTCTCTCTCTCTCTCTCTCTCTCTCTCTCTCTCTCTCTCTCTCACTAATAACAATTATAATAACAATCAATAATTAAATTAACAATTTACATACATTTAAAGCTTTTAAAACATATTTTAATATTAATTGTTTTATAATAAATATATATATTTATATACCAAACAAAACATTTTTTTATAAGAATCTTAGTCTTAGTCAGATAATAATGTGATAGAATATATATATAACTTTTATATATATATATATTTATTTATTTAATTCATACAATTTTACATATTTTATTAATTATATATATATATATTATTTTTATAAAAATTTTTTTTTAGATATGATAACAATACAGTCACAACAGTAACGGCTGAAATAAGAAAAGTTGGAAATGATTTTCATTTGTTTAGAAATGATTTCGACGAACCAATTGTTTATGAAATATTCAATTATAAATCAAAAGAATATAATATAGTCAACAATAATAATGGTTTGTATAGTATATTAATAATAATTATAATATAAAATTAAAAGTACAATATATATATATATATATATATTAATTTATATATTTTTTTAAAAAAATAATTTGTTTTTTTTAAATAATTTAATTCTAACTATTAAAATATTATTCAATATAGTTATTATAGTCTATTCACGAAATCCTAATCCAAACACAACAATATTGGACATTGCTTACCGTACACTCTATGAGTTAGGTTATAATAATGTCAACCTATTTCCCGTCAAACACAACACTCCCGACACTGGCACTCCCGACAGAGTCACTCCCGGCTATGGCACTCCCGACAGAGACACTCCCGGTTATGGCACTCACGACAGAGTCACTCCCGGCTATGGCACTCACGAAAGAGTCACTCCCGGCTATGGCACTCCCGAAAGAGTCACTCCCGGTTATGGCACTCCCGACAGAGACACTCCCGGTTATGGCACTCACGACAGAGTCACTCCCGGCTATGGCACTCACGAAAGAGTCACTCCCGGCTATGGCACTCCCGAAAGAGTCACTCCCGAAAGAGTCACTCCCGGCTATGGCACTCCCGAAAGAGTCACTCCCGGTTATGGCACTCCCGACAGAGACACTCCCGGTTATGGCACTCACGAAAGAGTCACTCCCGGCTATGGCACTCACGAAAGAGTCACTCCCGGCTATGGCACTCCCGAAAGAGTCACTCCCGGTTATGGCACTCACGAAAGAGTCACTCCCGAGAGAGGCTCTCCAGACAGAGGAACTCTCGTTTACACACCTGACAACCCTAACAATAATAATCCAGTAGTAGAAGTAGTACTACCAGATGACCAGTTGCCAAGAGTACCGCCATTGTATACATTTTTACATAAGGTTTGGTTTTTTTAATTTAGTTATTTTTATTTTTTTATGTAAATAGAAAAATAATTAGTAAATAAATATTTATCGATATAATATTTAGATTTTATATATAAAAAAATTATTGTATAAAATTTATATAGCCTTATATAATACCATTTTTTTTAATTTTAAATAGTTTATTCAACTATATTTTTTTTAGTAAATATAAATATAATCATAATTATTTTTATTATATATAATTATTTTTATTGTTATTTAATTGAAATTAAACTTGATATATATGATTATTATTTTATTAATATATATATATATATTTAAATAATTATAGTTTACTGGACCCTGGTATCGTTTGTTTAGATCAAAACCAAACACAAATGGCTATTATTTATACAATATTAAGTACATACCCGACACCCAACCGCCACAATTTGAATTTAATAAACAGTAAGTTTTTTTAAAAAAATTATTATTATTATTAAAGTATTTAAACATAATTAATATTATTTTTGTTTAAACTTTATATTATTTTCAATTAAATAAATTAGAATTTTTTTTTGTTGTTTCTTCAAATATATATATTTAACATTATTTTTAAAATTTTTTTATTTTTTATTTACAGAAATTATAACAATTCCAATGTAACGACACATTTTGAAATACAAACGATTGGAAATACATATATATTTTCTGACACTAAAACCAAACTACAATTACACTATGAATTTTTGAATTACAATTTTAATAGTTTTTATATTATCAAATATATACACCCAATTACTAAAACTGGTTTGTATTATATATATATATATTTTTTTCAATTTTACCCCCTCCCCCACTATACCCCTGAGGTTGAAACTTTTTTGGCAACCTTGATATATATATATTTAGCTTTACCTCTCTCTATTTTTATTTATCTAGCTCAAATTTGATTTCATGCATTTTTTACCCAATTAAAAAAAATTACATACAATTCATATTTTTCAAATTTACCCCCCCCCCCCCCTATACCACCTGAGGTTGAAACTTTTTTGGCAACCTTGATATATATATATATATATATATAGCTTTACCTCTCTCTATTTTTATTTATCTAGCTCAAATTTATTTCATGCATTTTTTACCCAATTAAAAAAAATTACATACAATTCATATTTTTCAAATTTACCCCCCCCCTATACCACCTGAGGTTGAAACTTTTTTGGCAACCTTGATATATATATATATATATATATAGCTTTGCCTCTCTCTATTTTTATTTATCTAGCTCAAATTTGATTTCATGCATTTTTTTCATCCAATTAAAAAAATAATTACATACAATTAATTAATTTGTTTGTTTGTATATTATTTGTCTAAAATTATAGTTACTGTGGACGTATTTTCACGATCAGACAAACCAAATCTAACAATACTGGATATCGCCAAATGGACACTTGAGTCGTTAGGTTTAAACAATATTAGACTATTGCCGGTCACTGCCGATGCAGCCATTGGTAGTACAAAGCCTGAAACTACTACTTCAGCCACTATTACTACTACTACTAGTAATAGTAATAATGAACAGACAATAGTATTGCCAAAACCAATATCACTGAAAACACCTCAAGTATTGAATATATTTTTATTTAATTAAAATATTTTTATTTAACATATTTATTATTATTATTATTAGATTGTTGGCTCCTGGGGTTGGATGTTTGGTTCGGATAGGATTGGTTTTAAATCAATAGTATCCGCCTATGTTGATAGCCCGCAGCCATATATAACAATTATTGCCAAGTATAAATTGTTTACTAATTTATTAAAAAAAATTTTTTTTTTTTAGTTTTTTCACATAAATATATATTTATGTTTGATATGAGATAAAAAAAAATATTAAATTAAATGTATTATTATTAATTTTTTTTTAGGGAAAGTGATGATAAATATATTTCCGGTTCGTTACGTCCGAAAACTGATGCCAACAATGAGTTTGTATTTATAAACGATGCCAGCAATCAAATTACTGCAACGATTCAAATATTAAACTATGAAAGCGGAAAATTTTTTATGTCTAAATCTGTATTCATCGATGATCCTAAAAGTAAGCTATTGTTTTGTTAATTGTTTATTATTAAGATAAAAATATATAAATAATTTTTTTGATTTTTTTTCACGTTTAAAAAATATTATAATACACATGTATATACTGTATATAGTTTATGCCACCACTTAAAAGTAATATTATATAATGCTTTAGCCAGGGTACTGTATAATATACAGTGTATATACTACTTACTTATATATAATATATAAGCTAACTGGGTATACTAAGTTACCTAGCTTAGCGTAAAATTAGCGATATATACACGATATATTACTTAAATTTAAATTTTTAATTTGGTATTATCTTTATAAAAATAATAATTATAAATATTATATTTTATTTATTTAGTTTTTTCTGTATGTGTATTAGTGATTAACTAAAAAAAAAAATTTGTGTCAAATATATATATATATATATATGATATGTAAAGAAAAATAAATATCCAGTATTATGTGATTTAGTAATATTATATATATATATATATTTAGTCAATAATTTTTTTTTAAATTATTATTATTATTAAAATAGCTTATGTCGATGTGTTTGGCGTATCCAGCAAACCCAACCCAGCCATACTAGACACTGCCGAAAAGACACTGAAAATATTGGGCCTTAACTTTACATTGTTGCCCGTTGATGATGAAAACGTACCGGACATGACCGAGATTATCATTGATGTGCCGCTACCACCGTCACCGTTACCGTTACCGTCACCACCAAAATCACAACAAACAACAACAACAACACCATTGCCGACAACACCAGCTGTAGTACAGACAACAACACCAGCTGTACAGACAACAACACCCGCTGTACAGACAACAACACCTACTGTACAGACAACCACCACTGAATTAAGTGTCGTTTCATTGGCTCCACCGTCAATACAATCCCAAAATTTTGCCAACCATTCATTGAAAATCGATAACTTTAAATGGGTATATATATAATCAAAAAAAATTTTTTTAATTGTTGTTAATGTTTTGAAGGAAAGTGGGTGTGGGGAGGGGGTTTGTTTTTTTTAAAAAAAATTAATTATATAATTTATATATATAAATATATTATTTTTTCTATCACTCACTCACCCACTCATTTTCTATCCCATCATTAGCTTGAGGGCAATTGGTATGAATTGTATTCAACCGTTAAAAATATCAAACCGTGTGTTCAAATTGTATTGAACCAAACAAGCAGTCAATCGGACCTTACATTTACAACTTAGTATGTATTTTGTTGTTGGTGTTGGTGTTGGTGTATACACCGTATAAATACATAATATATCATATATTAAATACTGTTATTTATTGTGTTATATATTAATATTTTGTTGTCTACTACTACCTAATAGTAACGACTGTACAAAATCAAGCAGTGGTTCATTGAAAAAATTACCCGACGATAACAGTCGATTGGCTATGATTACCAAAGAGGTAGCTGCTAGCTTATGGATATTGGATACCGGAGCCGGAGATCTAATAACCAAAACAAATTTCCTAGCATTGAAGTCATTTAATTTTCAAGATGATGTTATTGGTATGTATAGTATATATATAACTAACTACTAGTTAGCAATATAAACAACAATATATATGTGATATTTAAATATTATTATTTATTTATTTATTTTTTTTTTGTTAGAAAATTATATACTATATTCACGTACGCCTAAGGTGTCTGAGCCCGATATGAAACGTATTGAAGATCAGTTAGCCAGTGTGGCCAGTCATGTGAAACTGATACCCAGAAAACAGGAAAAATGTTTATGCAATCATTAAATTTTGTTTGAAAAATACAATGATTTATATAAACAACAAATAATTTTAACTATATATATATATATAAATAATTATTAATATTATATTCTTTTTTTTAATTAACATAATTTTTTATTCAAAATTAAATTTTTATTAAATATATTATTCACAAATATGTAATATAATTTTGTTAAATAAAACAAAATAACTAAATAAATTTGAATTGATTTAAAACAAATAATATTTGTAAATTTTTATTTTAAATAATCAATAATTATTTTTTTTTTGGTTTTATAATCAATATTTTAAATAATTAAAAATACAATTATATTTACAATCATTCTATGATAGATTAAATATTGTAGCCAATGTTTTTTAAAAAAATTTTGTATATAAAAACTTATAAATTATAATTTTTAAATATTTGTTTGATTATTATTTTTTTATTTTGTTTAATAAATCTAATTATAAACAATAAATAGGTTTTAAAATAGTATATAAATTAGAAATAGTTAATATCTCTAATTATTTTTTTTATATAAAATTGATTTTCATTAGTGTATTTTTAATATATATATATATAACTATTTATTGTTAATATTTTATAATATATTAATTATAATAATTAAATTTTTTATTTAATATTTACATTAAATTTGTTTATAATTACTGTATATATATAGTTATTTTTTAATTAACAGTCTACTAAATAACAACACTATTTATATAAATATACTCCATTTTATTTAATTAATTATATTTTATAATAATAATAACAATATTATTATTAGTAGTAGTAAAAATTGTAATATTAAAATATTTATAAAATTAAATAAAATTTAGTGTTAAGTAATTATTAACAAACAAACAAATAAAATCTAAAATATTTACTATTTATTTTTTTTTAAAAAACTAAATTAAATGTATAGATGTCTAAATTAAAGACAATATATTTATATTTAATAATAATAATACTATTGGTATCGATATTAGTTGAGTCAATCAGTTTTGTCAGGTGTGACAGTAATAACAATAATAACACGACCGACATCAGCACCGGTACTAAATTAAATAACAACAAACAGGCATTTAATTTAGGCACAGTTAAGTATATTTTTATTTTATTTAGTTATTTTTAAAAATCAAATAATAACAAATACTATAGATTTAAATTATTTATCTAAATTGTTGTAGTTAATTAATTCAAAAAAAAATTTATATAAAATATTATCAAAAAATATTTATTAATAAAATTTATAAATATTGTTTTTTGTAGATAATTAAAATTAATAATAATAATTGTACATGTATATATTTTTAAAAAATAATTTTTTATATATATATATAGCTAACTGGTCTATGGTATAGAGTATATGCTTCGGGTAATACTGATTGCCTGACACTGGATATTGTTCACAACATTTATACAAAACAGTATGATTTAATTGAACGGTTAGTATTAAATAATTATAATAATAAAGTGTATATGTGTGTGTGTGTATGTATGTGTATGTGTGTATATATGTGTGTGTATGTATGTATGTTTGTATATATATATATATATATATATATATGTGTGTGTGTGTAATAACAACAATTACAAAAAAAAACAATAACTAAATATGCATTTTAATTGTTTAATAATTGTATTTAATTAAAATAAATAATCAGACGTAATAAACAATTGATAAGTCTATTGCATACGTCCATCGATTGGGACGGTACCATCAGATTGACCTGCAATGAAACCGGTGCCCAACTATTGCTGAATATATTGGCCACCGATTTGGCCAATTATTTTATGATACATTATGTAGATATTGCTAGAAATCTTTGTAAGTAAAAAAAACAGTAATCAACTAACTTATGCTATACTGTTATTAATATTATTAATAATTAATTAATTTATATATATATTTATATTTTTTGTGTACATTTATAGCCGCCATCGGTGTCTATACAAGAGATTGGTCACCACACCGACTGCTGGACAACAATGGTCTACTGGATCTGTGCATCCGTACGCTTCGACGGTCGGCCATCCAATTGACAATTCATTCGGTCGACTATATGAGCTGTCAATTGGAGCCGCAAATCGAGTCGGACAGCGATACCGGTGCCGGCGATCACATAGTTTTGCCAAATGTGCCGACACTGAGAACTATGATCTATAAGGTATTTAGGCATTTATAGTCCAAATATTATATATATATATATATATATATATATATATATATATATATATATACTGTATTTATATTATTATATTATTATTATTAGTTATTATTTTTTTCTTATATTTAATTGTCATTTTATTATTTTTTTTCTTAAATTACCGATAAAATTAAAATTAACAATTGAGTCAAAATTTTTGTCGTGAACTGTATATACTAAATATACTGTATATAAATAATATTAATATATATAGAATTGAAATTCACAAATACTAATGATTAAAAATAATTATATTTAATTATATTTAGTTATATATATAAATATTTATTGTGTATTAATAATTATTATGTGTGTTTATAGTCTATTTACAATTTAAAAAATAATAATATTAAAATTATTGTAAATAATTTGTTTTTTTTTGAAAATAATTTTTTTAGTTGATAGGTTACTGGAAACGGATGTACAGTTCAAACCGGGACGGGTATCTAAGTTTTACATTTGCTTATATACCGGGCAAACAGCGCCCACTGTTTAGAATTATTATCCGGTAAATTAATAATAATAATAATCAATTATAATTTGTAATAAATAATTAAAACAAAATTATTATTTATTTAAAAACAAAATTACTTTTTTCTAATTGTAGACTATCGGCAAGTATGTATGTGTCGGGCCGTATGATAGGCGATGATCGGGATGGACACAGATATACAGTGATCAGGGATGACAATGATCAACAAATGGCAACAATTGAATGGTTAAATTATGGGACATCCAGTTTTATTATGGTCAAACATTTAGACAACAATAATACAGGTTTGATTGAAATTTTAAAATGTACAGTACATGTATTAAATAAATAATAATTATTGGTATTATAACTATTTAATTATATTATAATTATTATTAGAGAGAGAGAGAGAGAGAGAGAGAGAGAGAGAGAGAGAGAGTATTTTAAAAATATTAAAACACAAATAAATATTTAAATTTTTATATATTAGCAAAAAATTGGCATCACTTAATTGCCCCCAAGTCCGACCCACCCCCCACCCCCCACAAAATATTTTAATAAAACTTATTAAAGCTATTTGATGGGGGCGTGGGAGCACCTAAGTCATGGCCAAAAAATTAATTTATATTAAACTTATGTTATTTTTATTTAAATTAAAACATTTATAATTTATAATATTTAAGCAACTATTGATGTGTATATCCGATCGGACCAACAAAACCCAACCGTACTAAACATTGCCAAACAAACACTGCGACGGCTGGGACTTGATTTCCCGCTACAACCCGTTGTTGGTGTTGTTGTCGGAGATAATGGCAATATAGCCGACAACATAACAGCAACAACTGTGTCGCCAAACACTAGACATACAGTGTTGCCTAAAATACCGTCAATACTAACATTGATAACACAAGTATTGAAATAATAATAAATATTTTTTATTTATTTAATTTTTTTTTTGCTAAAAAATATGTATTTTATATAATATATTAAATCAGATGACTGGTCGATGGTATCGGGCGTACAGTTCACACCCGGACACCTATAATACCTATGATATAGCATCGATAGCCGACACAAAACCGCCTGAATTGCAATTCAATATACAGTAAATTATTTTTTATTAATTTATATATATATATAGTATATATTTGTATTTTTAATTAATTAATAACTTTTTTGTTTTTGTTTTATCATTTTTTGAACGATAGTCACGATTCACTAAATAAAACTAATATATCACATATGAAATTAACTGGCAATCAATATATGATGGTTTTTTCAAACAATTTAAACGGTCAACGAGTCTATTATAAATATTTAAATTACCTGTCAAATAGTTTTTTCATTGTCCTATTCAAAAACATTGCTAATCATCATGGTAAAATATTTTTTTAACCTAAATTTTTTATATTAGTTATATAGTTATAATTATTATTAATAGATAATTTTTTTTTGTTTTATATATATATATATATATATATATTCAATAATTATAATATTTATATTGTTATATATATATTTTAAAGCTATAAAACTGGGTTTTTTTTATCAAAATTAATAATTATTTTATTTTCTAAATTAATAATTATTTTATTTTCTAAATTAATAATTATTTTATTTTCTAAATTAATAATTATTTTATTTTCTAAATTAATAATTATTTTATTTTCTAAATTAATAATTATTTTATTTTCTAAATTAATAATTATTTTATTTTCTAAATTAATAATTATTTTATTTTTCTAAATTAATAATTATTTTATTTTTCTAAATTAATAATTATTTTATTGGATCAATTAAATAGACATTTTAAAATTTGTTATTTATTTATTTTAATTACATTCAATATATTTTAGATACATAGTTAATATTTATTAATATATAAAAATAAAGTTATTTTTTGTAATTTTATTATTAATTATTTTTTATTTTTTTTTAAAAAAAAGTTGGTGTCGACGTGTTTTCCCGATCCGACCGACCAAACCAAACCAATTTGTTAGACATTGCCAACCAGACACTGGATAGTCTAGATATTAATTATACATTAATTGAAACCGATTGGGTACCTGTCCATATAAAAACTGTTTGGACCAGGCTAATTAATAATAATGATACTAACCAAATGCCTGTTATGTTAGCAATGGTACCGTCAATGCAAACATTAACTACCCAGGTTATTTATGTTATTTACTATAAACTATGTGATATACCAAATATACTGTATATAAATTGATATGTTTATAAAATACATTATTTTTTATTATATTAATTGAAAATATATAACTAATCAGATGACTGGTCGATGGTATCGGTTATACGGCACACAAATAGACGACAATAAATTTAATATACTGGACATAACTAACATACCCGGCTCACAACCGGCCCAATTGAATTGGATA